TGAAGTATGCTCTTGCAGTGTGTTTCCAGATGCTTTTTGTGACCATATCCCCTCTAGGTCAGAAGTTCCTCTCACTGTGACACCAGCTCCTGCAAGAGAACACGTGTTCCTGAGATGCTTTTGCATCTGGGTCTTCGTACTCTGTGTCACAGTGGCAGGAGAGATGGGTCATGGATGGACTTAAGTGCGGGGTGGAGTGGAGTTTATTCCAGGTGAGGGTAGGTTGCTATGGGGCTGTATCAGAGGAATTGTCTAGCCCTCGAAGCTTGAATTACTCCCGAATTGACTGTACTTCCTGGATGCTGTAAACAAACAAACCTGCTGGGGCAAGCTGTCCATCAGCAGAGCTCTGTGTTACCACCTCCACCAAGCACCTTGGACAGACTGCTGGAAAAGTGCAGTACTTGCCATGGCTTACTTTGCAAAACTATACTGGAGGAAGAGGTTTTCAATGCCACGAAGGGTAGGATTTGCCTAAGAAGACCAGACTGGAACAGGCTCTTGGGCCTGGGCTGTCAAAGCAGAAGCAAGCTGGTAGCAGTCACACTTTACCTGAGGACTTCACATTAAAGCCATGGCAATTTTTTTGACACCTGTAAAAGAACTGAACAAGAAGGTGCTGTCTTAAGTGAGCAGCGCAGTAATTTGGAGCTCTAAGAAAACAGCCTAAATGGCAGAGATTAAACAATGAAAACCTCCCTTTTTGGAGGAACAGTGAATGTGGTGTGCTTTCCCTTCTTAGCTTGAAGTGGCATAGTGGAAGAAGTGGCTTATCTCCAAATTGTACCCATTATTTTTTTTACAGCTGTTTTCAAACAGGAAGTGTCACTAATAACCGCGTCTTCTAGGCTGGGCAAAGGCCAAATGCAATGGCAAGATGCACTTAAGCCTGGAATATGGCTGTGTTTCAGCCTTAGCAGAAGAACCATTAACCAGGAAGGAACTTCTGTCAGAAGATGACAAATTCTACTCTTAGTGAGTTCTGGTTTTCATCAGCTTTCTTGTGTGTGAAGTGCCTGTGGCCTAATGAAACAGAAAGATGAGACGTGTATCAGCTTCTCCACCAGTGGGACAGTTGTGCCAGCTGGCCCACTTTGTGCTGCTTGCGGGGAATGTGTAACCTTTGGTGTCTTATATCTTTCTGCCATGGCTGGAATGGCCTGGTGGCTTCTGGCCATCTGTGGGGTCACAGCTACCCAAGGGTGCCCGTGCTGGCACTCCCTGACTCATACTTTCTTAACAAGCACTCTGCTCTTGCAAAAACATCTTTTCAGTCTCACAGCCGGAGGCTCACGTGCATTTCATTGGTGCGACCTCCAGCTTCTGCCTCGTTTCTGCAAGGGGAAGATGGATCAGCTCAAACTTTGGTCAGATTTCTGATCTGAGTAACTTCTGTTAAGTCTAATTAAGACTCTGAAAGAGCAGTGGAGGTGAATGCTGTAAAATAAATACATATATGTGATATGAAATAATCATGTAGAGTCAAAGAGCTTTGGCTATGTTAGAGGCAGATACATGCACATTTTTACGTGATCTGATGCTGCGTTGCAGCTTTACAGCTTGTCTTTGCTGCAGAGGAAATGCAGGTTTTTACACCTTTGCAAATGTAAATTCTTCCAGTAGCTCTTCTGAAGAACGGTTGGCTTTTTGTTATTTTTTTTTTCCCCACTATTGAGTTTCCTGAGCTTGAGGTGCAAAGAATATTTTAGTCACTCTGAGCTGTCTTAGACCAACCATGTTTGTGACACTGATTTGAGAAAGGAAGATGAGCTCTCTTGATAAACCCTCTTTCTTTACTTCCATCAATAAAGCAGAATTTTTTAGTTCAATGTAAGAGAAAATAGGTGCAGCACTTGAGTTCTGCTAGTTCTCAGGTCTTAGAGATGTTGCCTGGGTTTTGGAACAATATTAGTTGCTTAAAGATACAGATGTAACTTCTGGTAGCCTCATGAGGAGCCGTATTTTAGCTTCTGTAGGGCTGATATTAATGTGGGGCAGACTCTATCTAAACATTGTTCTGCCTCCTGAGATACCTAAATATCATGGAAGTGCAATACCTGCTGAACAGAAGCAGTCTGTCAGTTTGCTAAATATACTCAGAACAGATTGAAGAAAAAAAGTAAACACAAGATGTCTAGTATATGCACTGATGAATTCTCTGAATAAAAATGCTGGCTTTGTGCAGTTTTCCTTAAATCAGGCCTCTATCCTAATGCTGTCTGATATAACGAAGGAGAAACACTTGCCCTTGACTTCTGACTTTAGATCTTTTTGCTCTGTTTTCTAAGGAGATGGTTCTTTGTACAATGAGCAGCAGCATACCTCTCAGTGAGCTTGCTTTGACTTGAGCTGTGCACATACTGTAGAAATAATACGTAGATGTCCAGAGGTCCTTACAGCACGCATCAAAAATCACTGACTTGGCAAATGGAAAATGCTGAGTGACCTTTAAAGGTAAAGTGTAATCATAAAGACTTTAAATTAAAATGCTGTACACATTCACACAGTTACAGCTCAGACAGTGTCAGCCTTTGCATATTAAAAGGCATTTAATTCAGAATAGCAGCTGACTGCTTCCTTATGTCTTGAACCAAACAAGAAAGCAAGCATTTCTTTAAGGGGAGAAAGACTGATGTACAGGTGTAGAACAAGATTAACAGACTGAAAACAAAATCTACCTGCAGCTGTTTCATTCTACTGGTACAGAATGCATTTTTAGTTACCGTTTCCATGGCTTTTCTAAGAGGAGACTCTTGTGCCTAGTTTCTGAATTGAGCCTCTCATCAGACACTGAACTTTTGTGAAGTCTGCCTTTGAGAAGGGAGAACAGCCTTGATAGTATCTGCCCTCTCTTAGTTTTGCTTTCTTCAGACTGAACGCTTCCCAGGAGGCAGTTCCTGGTAAACAAATTCTGCCATGTCCTGAGCGCAATGAGAAGCCTGCAAAGCCCTGATTCCTTTCGGCACATTCCTGGGGTGAGGGCACAGGGTGTGTGCCTGGGAGAGCCTTGCAGTGGGGATGAGGGAGAAGAGCCACCTGCCTCAGTGCTGAGCCTAAGGCCTGCCTTGTACCGGGACATGATGAAGCCTGATAAGCAGGTGAGAGCGCTGGTTGATGATGGGCCCATGGTCAGCCCAGGAGCCTGTAGATAGTTGTGGACGTCAGCAGGTGCCTGGGAAGGGTTTGTCTTGGAGTTTCGCGAGGAGAATGTGATGGTCTCTACCTGTGTGGAGGATGTGTATCCCTTAAGTTTGTTTGCCCTCTTATTCTGCTCCTGTAGGCTTCTGGTTTCCGTGACGCTGCTTTGAAGGGAGCACTGTGGTTTGAGTACAAACTGTTTGAGGAACCATCTCCTTCTGCTTGGTTCAGTGCTGACTCCTAATACCTTCTTTTGATGTCTTCTGGCTGATGTATTCAAAGAGGTGGTGAATCACTTTTCATAGGCTTTTCCAGACCCCTTGTGAGTGCATGCATCTCTGCCATGAATTTCTCAGCCAGCTCTTTCCTTTAGTTGAAAAGCTGTACCTGACTTAGTCATCCCTTTGTATAATCCAAAATGCTGGAGAATGATTATATGGAGTGCCTTCACATTAGTCCTGTTCTTTCTCCCAGACCTCCTGGCTCTTCACAGACCTCCCTGTAACTCCCCTGAGTCTTTGCTAATGTTGATATTGGCTGCTTCAGGTGAGATTAAGCCTCGCAGAGTTTCTGCTCTTTTCAGTCTTAATCTATTTACTATTGCTTTAATTTAAAAGTTGCGAACACACGTATTAGCATGTGGGAGTGTGTGTGAGGAAAACAGAACATGGTGTACGAGGTCATACAAAAATAAAAACTACAAACCATCTCAGTAGTCTTTTTATGAGCACCAGTGTTCTCTCAGTTCCCTCTCTGCTGTCAGTGCATTGGCTTTCAGAAGCTAGCATGTTTATTTTAGCTCAAGCTTTCCCCATTTCATCCTGTTACTTTGGAAAGTGACTTAAGAAAAGCTCAACAGAAATAGGCTTTTCAGAACAATTAGCACAACCTGTCAGAAGCACTAAGGCTTGCTGAGTTCACACCCACACAGGAATTTTAAATGTGCTTAAAAACCAAGGGGTGACCATTAGTGTTGCCGGGTGGTTGGATGGTTTGTCCATGCTTGACTGTGGAGATCTGATCAGGGAATGGCAGGTTGATGTGGATACTGTTGGGAACTTGCTGAAGAAGGCAGGAAATGCATCAAAACCTGTCCATCATTCTTGCCTCTCTCTTATATATTTCTTTTTATTTGCAGTTCCTTTTTGAGTTACTGTGTTTCAGTGAATCTCTGAGGGAGATTCTTGGCTGTGGAAGAGAACATTGACACAGATATTTAAACTGCTCCTGAAAGCATAAGCTCATCAGGTTAGGGTATGCAATAGGCTGCTGAGAGGCATTTTGTATCTTGCCAGGGATACAGGATCACAGATCACAGGATAGTGAAGAAGTGAGGATTCTGGGATGAGAAGTGGTCTGTGTGTGCGGCTGTGAAGTCATCCACAGCTGCTGCTGGATGTACTTAATTCCCTTCAGCCTCACAGCAAAGAGGAAGGTGGTAATCTTTGGCAGGTGGAGCTCTGCATTTAAGTGAGTGCAGAACTGGGGCTACACGCCCATAGTGAGCTGTAGCTGTAAACCCCTCATCCTAACTGCTCTGTTCCCTCTTGGACCTCCAGAAGAACTAGAATCAAGTAAGCCAAGAACTGGAATCACGTTTCTTTCTCTGAATGGGGTTTTGTTTTATTAATGTTTTATTAACAGACCTTGTAGGGAATCCTCTGAGGGAACTTTCACTTCTCTATCCTGGTGCAGTCCTTAATGAGAGTCCCCTTCCTCCTGAGGTATTTTTAACGTGACTGGTCTCCTGCTGTCTGTCTTACTCATGCTCCCTGAAGGATCGAGCTCATGCACTCCTCCCATTCTGATTTTTCCTAAGTGCTATGTTGTCAGGTCTCTTCTGTGAAGTCACTGTGGTCTGTCTCACAGCATCTGGCCTGGAGACAAATGCAGCCTCTTGAGCTCCCAACTGAGAACCATGACCCAATGGATTAGGCTTGATCAAGCATGAGCAAATATGCAGAAAGTACTGCTAGAGAGGTGGGTGAATGGACAGGGACTTGCTGCTCTTCTGCCTAGAGCTCAGTCTGGGTTGAAAAACAGTGTGTTTGAGGCTTATGAGAAGTGTATGTACAGCTGGGCTGATTCAGTGGGGTTAATGCTTTGAGTGAGTGTCAACTTCTGTGGCAGTGACAATCACCAAATGCATCAAAGGTGGTGGTTAAAGCCCTTTGAGGGAAGCAATTAAGAAGTGAGCTGACCTGGATGCAGATTTCTTTGCGCTTGAGCTGAAGGAGAAGGCTTAAGCAGGAGTTTTATATCCCTTCCAATCTTGCTTGCTTTTAATCCTTGCTAATGCAGCCTGGAAAGCTCCATGAACGTTTGCCCAACCCTTCTCTGAGCTCCTGGTTTCAGGGGCATTATGACTTCAGCAAGATTTAGCTGAGTGACAGAGTGAAGAAAGGAAAGGAGAGCTTATTTTTTTCTCTCGATTTTCTGCTTTAACTCTTCATTCTGTTGTCTCTGAGGAAGGAGTGCAGTAAAGCAATAGTCTTAAAACCAGCTCGTACCTCACAGCATTCTCATTCTCTCCCCCTTCTTTCTCTAATATCTCTTATTTAAATGAAATAACATAACCTTGTCATTAAGCCTGGGTTTGGAAGCTGTGAACTGCTTTAGGTTATCCCTTTTGGGTGCCAAGATGAAGGTATTGCAGACCCTGCTCGGGCATCTAACTGTGAAAGGTTGCCCTGTACACTGAAAAATCATTCACTTCTACTAGTTATTGGATAATGAAAAGAGCACAGTGAACCAAACTGTTCACAGTGCTCTTCACCATAAGGTATAGGCAAACAAAGGCCCTTGAAAAATGTGTTTGCTGGCAGGGAAGCTCAGAGCAGAAGATGTTTGTGAAGTTCTGAAGAGCAGTGCTGAGAGATGGAGATGATGTATTGCATAGATGCGTAGATCAGAAATTCCTGACTACCCAGGAAATGGACCATTCTGCCATTTTATTTTACCATTTAATTCATCTGTGAGTGGAATTTGGCATCTGCTAGAAATCTAACCACTGCATCCCTTAGCATCAGTCTGGGTACAGTAGGTCTTTGTCTGGCTCCATAAGCTGCTCCTGACCACGATATTTCCAACTAAGAGCTTTTTCCTGCATGCAGCTGTCCCTTTTCCAGTCCTTCCTGCCACAAATCCTGCAAATGAATGCTGGCCTGTGGAGACTTCTTCCATGCTTGTGTTATCATGCTCGTGATACTATTCTTTATGCTAGAAAGTCCTTGTTCTGTTTGTGTGTGTGTGTGTGTGTGTGTGTGTGTTTTTCTCAAATTATTTGGCAGGCTAATGTTAGCAGGTATATCAGAGTAGCTATAAGAGTTGTAGTGGTAAATAGTTAGAATAGTGAATGAGTGATGAATACATCCAAAAAGGTCACAGATGATCTACTGCTTAGTTATTAAGCATGTGTGCTGGACCAAATTCTTCAGCACTGGCTCGAGGCAGAGAGGTGGGAGAGGTAATTGGGGGAAAAAAAAACAGGGAAGCCGGGCACTGTTCTAGGGCATGGAGCAAGATGGTTATTTGCCAATATGGTCTTGGAAGAAAATGCAACTCTTGGAGAGTTGGCCTCAAGGGAAAGTATAGATTTGTGATTTCATCTATTTCATCTGTTAAAGATCATGTGTTACTGTGAATTATGTGTATCCTGTATTTTGAATTTCTCTTTGTAGCTGACGCTTACCCTAAGGTATTTGATGGAAGTGCATAGAAGTTATTAATGTCCTGCAGGGCAGAATGTTCCATCTGCCTTTTTTTTTAAAAGTATTTTTGTAAGCGAAGTCCTTTGCCAGTATGAACCATGAAATGACTTGATATGCTGTAAGAACTGGCTGCTTCAGATATAGGATATGAATACAAAGATTGATGAAGAATTTATAGAATTAACAATTTATTTCATCTGTCACCTCAGAAACAAGAATTACAGGCTCTGTCTTGCCCCGCTATGTAGAAACTTAGTACTGATTGCAAACAGTATTTGCAGTACAGTGTATTCCTGGAGTGTGCCTTGGAGATTTAATCTGTCCTCACCTGTTCAGAACATTAAAATTAATGTTAATCATGCAGCCTTTCTTTCCTCTGAGAAACTGAACTTTACCATGTCAAATTGCTTCTTATTAGTAGGAAGTGGTGGGTGGATGCAAGCCTGTGTGACACCTGGGTGCTTGATCTGTCCATTTGTCCATCCCCCCAGATGCCTCCTTGTGAGGCAGGAGGACCACACTGAGCCCCCTCCTGGCTAAAGAAGCTGGTTTAACTTGTGTGGTGGGATAAAAAAAAAAAAAAAAAAAAAAAGGTTGGGTTGTTGTCCTGATGTAAACAGTGGAGGTCAGGCGTAGGCTGCCTGGCAGAGACCCTCAGACATCTCTAACCACCTTTTTTACATGTCTCACTATCCTTTTACCCATTTCTGACTCTCCCTGTTGTAGCTCTTGCTCCTCCCTTTCACTGCCCTACTCTTTTCCCTCTGAAACAGCCTGTCCTGTTTATGGTTTTTCATGGGGGTTCTAGTTTCATAACATTCTTAGTTGAATTTATAGTTTCTGATACTATTGTCCAGGCACTTTAAACTTTACCTTACAACCCACCTGAATGAATCTCATGTTCCTGCTGCCATTTTTTTTTTTTCCACTGGAAGATAAATAAGCTTTGTTTATTTTGACTCTGCAGGCAGAAGCACTTGTGTGGGATAATGATATATCAGCTCATGCCCAGTCTGTTGCCAAGGCCAAATATGAATTTTTGTTTGGCTTGGAGGAAGAGAAACCTTCAGAAGTGGGTAAGTGCTATTTTATCCCTAATGTGTGCAAAAATAGCCTGAAGACCCTTGGGAAGGAATTTGCAGAAGCTGCTCCTGATAGCCGTACAAGGACTCGCTTGCTGTGCCATGCTGCCCTTCACCAGAACACAGTGTAAGTGCCAGATCAAAAGAGCCCAGTGTTTTGGCCACGGCAAATTACAGCAGTTCTCTGTCCTAAGCCCCTGCCTTTCTCTTTGCTCACCTGGGCAACCTCGACGTGATGGTGGGGACTCATGTGCCAATCACACACAAGCGGTGGGGTGGTGGATGGAGCCTGGCACTTCTATACAGTGGAGTCATCTCAGCTATGCATCTGCACTCCACATGCCAAAACACAGCTCTGCCTGGCAGTTCTTCCAGGAATTCCCTGTATGAGCTGCATGCTGCTGTTCTGACAGCCAGAGGTAGATAAGATTTTAATTTAGATACTCTATGTATACTTGAACTGCTCCCTCCACTGTGTTCAGTAATTATATTCCAGATGCAATATCTACTGTTACGCCTAAGGATCAGTCTTGTTTCTGTGCTGTTCTTTCAAACAGAGGGGTGTATCCTTCCTTTCCCCAACCCAAGCTGAGATTAAAAAAAAGAAGTTGTTACTGCATCTGTTTGGTTTTTTTTTTTTGCTTCATTTTAATTACCACCAATCCCTGCCGTCTTTGCAAAAGTATTTCCTTAGGCTGTTCTCTTTGCACCTTGATCCCTTCTAATTGTAAACTTCCTGGAATGTCACTTTTAATTAAAGATGATTCTCTTCCTACCGGAGAAGGGCAGCACAGAAACAAGCTGTGAGTTCCCCTACTTTAGTCAGGGGACAAAAAAAAAAAAAAGAAAAAGTGTCAATGAAGTTTGGAAAGTGACTAGTATGTTTCTCCTGGATTTTCTAAAGATAGGTCTTCCACATGGGAAATCCTAATTGCAGAGTAGTGGGAAACAGAAAACCAAGCAGATGTCTTCATTTAGGAATTTTAAAAACTTTTACAAATTGCTACAAAAAGGTATATCACATTATTACATGAATCACAGTGACCTCATTTCTTGTTTGGTAATAGACAATGTGAGAGTACTGTCAGCAGGCATTAGTACAATTCTGGAGACTGGCATTAGATGAAATATGCTGTGTCTAATAAATCCAAGTGAATCTATTATTGTTACTAGCCAAAACAATTAGCAAGCATGATAGGCATTCAGAGTCATTTGAGTACTTAGCAATAAAAGAAAGGGTGGCAAAGTATCGGCCAGAAGTATGGGCTTATGTATGTTCTTCACCATAATTTTGCTGTGTTGCTTCTTGCCTTGTATCTAAAGTGCCTTCTGTACCTTTATTAATTAGAAACTATTATTAGGGGTTAACAATTAATGAAAAGGGAATGGCTGCGATGGAGAATGTGCAAATAATTTAACAGTGGTTAACATCTAACATCTGTGAATCGTACTCAAAAACTGCTATACAAGTGCTTTTTCTATACCATTATGCCTAGAGAACGAATGACTGTATTTAAATACCACACAGTCTCAGAAAGGGTCCCTTACTTTGCAATAAGGTGTTTCTTCTGCCAGAAAGGCAGAAGCTGAACTCCATATGAGACCTTAAGGAGTCTCCTTGCCCTGTGTTCCAGCTGCCTAGACTTGGTGTTTGTCCAGGCAGGGATCTGCAATCCTCAGTTTGTCCCTTGGGTAGTGAAAAAGTTTACTAAGCCATACGCCTTCTGTTGTGAATTTTCCCCAGCTGGGTTGAGGATATGTGCTCTCCCTGAGGCTGCTATTCCTCCTGCCCAAAACTCAGATTCCCTACTATGTGGTAATATGCCTACCCAGACCTATTTCTTGCTGTCACGGGGAAATGTGGCCTCCTCCTTCTGGAAGATGCTTGACAAAAACAGATACACAAAGATGGCGCTGCCCCTTCTACTTGTTTTCTTTAAAGCAGTGAACTTTAGTTTGTTCTTCACTGCAGATTAATGAGTGTGGAGCTGACTGAGTGCAGTAGTACAAAGTCAGGGCCTTGTGCACCGAAGCCCAGCTGTCTTTGATTCAATACATATTACATATGCTGTGGTAGAACTGCAAGGGATGGAAACTGTTTCAGTGGAAGCAGCTATGTTTGGAAGTCTCTCTCTGTGGAGTTGGGGCAACAGGCTGAATATCCAAACCAACTTGCTACTTTCTATAGTTGCTTTTAAAAGAAAGATGTCATGCTTTTCACGTGTCAGAGCTTGTAGGATTTCAAGTGAGTGAGTGACAGGGATAGTGGCCAGGAGTAGCACTCCTGTTTAAACTTAATCAGGAGAACAGCTTGTCACTGTGAGCAGTAAAGCTGAACTTTCTTTTATCTAATTCAAAGAGGTTTCACCCATGCCTTGGCTGGCCTCAGAAAACAAGAACACAATACATAAGCTGCTGAACAGCTTAATTAGTTATGCCTCCCAATTTGTCCTTTCTCTCAAAAACAGCCTTATTTCTGAGACCCTGTTGGATGCTGTTGAGAATCTATTTTTTTTAATTGGGTAGTGAAATGCTTGTATGGATAAGACACTTTACAAAGAGGGGAGAATGACTGGGGGAAAGCGTAGCAAGCACTTCTGTTTGCATAGGTCTCACTCTGGAGACAGCAGACATGGTTAACAAGCTTGTGGTCATTTTCACAGAGGAGAGGAGAAAAGAATCCAGTTAGATGCATGTAGAAGAAATGCTTAATTGCTGTATTCAATTGAGCATGCTAATAAAGCTGCCACATTACAAACACTTCCTCATTTCTTTCTTTAGTACCCTCAGTCTGCTTTTATCTGGGAGCTTTCTAATCTCTGCTAATCTGTACGCAGGCTCTCTGTCTTCAGTGTGTGACTTCTGTTTGGCTGCTTTTCCTTCTTGTCCATTGCTGGTCCTCCTGGAGGGAAGTGGATAGATGTATCCACACAGAAGCAGGTTCAGGACCCCAGTACCCTTGTCTCATCCAGTCGGGATGAGGGAACATGAGGTTTTCCTGCAGAGCCCTGCTCATGGACTCTGTGGCCACGTGCCCCTGCACTGCCTCACCATACTCGTCAGCAGTGCCTCAGCCTCCTGCCTCCAGCAAAAGAAAATATTTTCTAACGTCTGTACTTGGCGAGAGTGCACAAGACGTCTTCTCAGCTTCGCTAACATAAAGGGCGCTTGTTGTTTAGGTCTGAAAGCATATCGTCCTTGGATCTGGCCATGCAAACAGTGGTCTCTGTTGAACAGCTCTATCTCTTAGGCCTTGGTAGGCTGCAGAGTATTGATTTTTCTGACTTAGCACTTCATACATCTAAATGCCAAAAAAAAGTGTCTTGACAAAATGACAGTCCTAAAAAGTGAGTCCCCTCTTTTGGAGGGAACCCTACGAAATGACAAAGAAATATGTAATCCAAGAAGTTCCTAATGCCTATGAGGAGAGAAATCCAAGAAAATATCGTCGTAAAATTCATGAAGTCTTTTCTCTGATACTTTGAGGAGGGAAAGCTGTTAGTCCTCCTCTGTAATAGAAAGCTTAATCCCCTTTTTCACACACACACAAAAAGCCCTGTACAAGTAGTCCTGTGGTTGCTATGCAAATCTGGTCTTTCCCAACAGCTGCTGGGAAAAGCTTGGTTTTGAATTCCTGGTGAAACGAATAGCTTTTTGGAAAGCCTGTCACTCACTGTTTTGTGTACAGTGAGGTGTCATGAGGCAACTGAGCTCATTGTAACAGCTTGCTTCTGCCAAAAGAGATGGTTCCAGCCACACGCAGCTGTGCATTGCCTCATACTAACTCTTCTGCTCTTTTGATTTCTTAGCAAGCTTAATCCAGCAAAAACTTAGTAAGAAAAGGTCTAACAAAAGGCATAGTTTCTCCTGGCAGTGTGTGCTGAATCACCTCTGCAAGCGGTCAAACAGTGCCAGAGCCGGCACACAAAAGAGAATGAAATACATACCTTAACCCATGAGACAATATTTGTATTGAATGTGAATCATGGAGATGAGTGCATTTGCTGTAGATTTCTTTGACTTGTTTCAAGAGCTAAGGAAGAGCAAGGTGTTGTTTCTTTGCACATCCTTTTTGTGGTCCTAGATTGCTGATTTAAGCAGCCTTAAGAAAGTTATACCTGTAACTTGCAGTAAAATAAATATCACTAACTTTGTAAGTTGTTCTTTGCTCTTCTGCCTTGCTTTCTTTGTCTTCATCATTTCTAGTCATGTGTGTCCATCTCTGCTACATCCTCCCTTCACTGCACAAATGTGGCACCTTCCTGACCCTAACTTTCAAAACTTCCCTTAGGTCAGACATGTTGAACCATTCTCATACTTGGTGGATGGCTAACTGTAGGCTTCCTCAGCATTTTAACCACATCACTTTCCATTTCAGTACCCCACCCTCTGTCATTTTTTTTCTTTCTCACTCTTTCCACCTCCAGGCAGCATTGACAGTCTGTACTCCACAATATGGTGTTTTCGTCTGCAGCTTTTCTTTCCTGAAAAGGTGCAAAAGGGCATTCTGTGAGGACTGAAGGGCTGCCAGATTTCTAAGTCCATTTTGCAGAGACAGAGCCCCTGAAGATACATTTGTATGTTTGAGATCCACTCCACAATATTTAGCAGGGATGCACTTTAAGATTGAAATCTGAAAAGCTAAAATGTGGTGCTCACACACTCAGTGGAAATTCAGTGTTATGTGCACTTGGATCTGTAAGCTAACTTACTGTTGTTTCTAGGGTCCTACCATTGTTTGTGACATGCTGAAGACTGGCAAGAGTTTTTAAATGGTAGTGTGCATTAGTACTTTTTCCTGTGGCTGTCCCTGATGTTTGCTGTCTCTCCTGGGCACTGAGACATGTGAAGCCCAGTGCTCTGCAGGAGGAAATTGCACGTCTTCTGACCTGCACTTTAAAGCTGGGTAGTTCAAGTTATCATAACCTACAGCTGCAGGGAGGAGATTGCCACATCCTTGACTCAGTAAACAACAAAGCTGTTTGAAGGGCAGG